ACGTTTTGTTAATCGAGAATGATCTGTGTTACGTTCCACAATGTATGTGTATTATATGTAATACTTCATTATACTTTATATACTGTATATTCTGTGATATTTTTGTTTATATAGTTTATGTTACATCGCATAATACATTTGATACTATATTTTTTATTTTTACGTTTTTATTTTAGGCGCTATAACATCGGTATGCAAAGAATGGATAAACAATTCAGAGACTGGAAAATATTTCTGTAAATTTGAAGATACTCATTATGTGCCAAATAACATGCTAGGACAGCATTATCCAAACGATGCCGCTGTCGTTCGCGACATATTATTGAGTAATCAAAAATTATAATATTTTGAGTGGTGCAGAAATATGTGTCTGCTTTTTTTAGTCCGTATTGAAATTCAAAAGAAAATGATAATTTAATACTAACAAGAGCAGATAAGGGTAATATAACTGTGGCTTTAGATAGAGATAAATACATTGAAAAGATTGAAGACATGTTAAGCAATGATGAAACTTATTTAGTTTTAAATAAGGATCCGATTAGAAAATTAATCTCGAAACTCCATGATTTACTTACTAGATGGAAAAATGACAATTACATTTCAGTACAGACATATCGTTTATTGTCATTTAATGAAAGAACATTACCGAGCTTACGGTTTACCTAAAATCCACAAAGAAAATTGTCCGTTTAGACTAATTGTATCCTCTACAAATACTCCTTTATATCAGTTAGCACTTCACTTACACCAAATTATGAACAATTGTTTCCTGAACAATTGTTGTCTGTAATAGCTACATAGAAAATAGTTTCAAAATGGTTAACAAAATTTCAGATATTTACATCCATAATGACTACAAATTATGATTTCTTGATGTTATTTTACTTTTTACTAACGTATCCATAGATTTAGCTCTCGAGAGTGTTTCCAATAAATGGCAATATATTGAAAATAATTGCAATCTCCCTAAGTCGGAATTTTTAATTGGAGTAAGCCTCGTATTAAATTCTACGTATTTTACATTTAACAATGTTTTTTATCAACAATCCTTCGGCACACCAATGGGTTCTCCTTTATCTCCTATCATAGCTGATATTGTACTGCAAGATTTAGAAAATAAAGCTCTTCAACTACTAAAGTTTTGTCCACCCATATACATTAGATACGTGAATGATATAATAATGGCTGCTCCATCGCGGATTTCATAGATTACACATTAAATTTATTTAATTCTTTTCACAATAAAATCCAGTTTACTCTTGAAATTCAAGACAATAATAAAATTAATTTTCTCGACCTAACATTGATATTAAAAAGTAACAACATCATATGTGATTGGTATCATAAAAAAACGTTTTCTGGTAGATATCTGAACTTCCTTTCTCAACACCCTATGAGTCAAAAACGAGGTACGATAATGGGGTTGGTGGATTGAGCCTTCTTATTATCAAATCCAGAATTTCGCAAAGAAAATTTAGAAATCAAAATATTACTCAAAAATAATTATCTTCTGAAATTGATTTTTGACACCATGAACCAAAGACTAAAACATTTAATAGAACAACGGAATATTCTTACAAACAAGAATGACCAAAATTTAAAGGTCTCGTATTTCTGCATCCCATTCTTACCGACACTCACTGAACAATATAGAAACATTATTAAAGATATGAATGTTAAACTCCCTTTTTATAGTCTTAACAAATTGAATAAATATATTAAAGTACATAAAGATCCTATTCCTAAGTGTTCAAATACCAATGTTATGTATAAGATAGACTGTAAAGATTGTAATGCATCGTATGTTGGTCAGACTAGTAGGAAATTATCTACCAGAATATCAGAACATCGATCTATTATTATACATAGAAACGTAAAAAAATCTGTAATCACTGACCATAGATTAAAATATAATCATGAATTTAGTTGGGACAATGTAGAAATACTTGACAAAGAATCACAATATAACAAAAGATTGATTTCAGAGATGATATTCATAAAAAGGCAAAATAACAGTCTCAATTTAAAAACAGATATTGATGGCTTGCCAATAATATAATACATAGACTACCTAAGATATAAAAGTTAAAAAACATAAACAATTAACTATTTTATCCGTTGTGTGGTCGTCTCTCTGAGAGATAAAAATCATTCGTTATTGTAACCTCGAGCAATCAACATCTGAAAGCCTATACGTCACAATATAACATCTTACTCGATTTAATTGTAAGTCTATTTTTATTAATTTACTTATCTTTCAATGTTAATTTTTCGTATATAATGATTTTATAGACATATTAACAATTACTGTTATCAAGATTCGCAACCGACCTCCTAACCGAACAATTAGCGAGAGATTCGTTTCGCGACAATTACATAAGGGCACGCCATTAACAAAAATTATCCATTGCAAACCCATGTAAAATCCTATCCTATTGCAAACCCATGTAGAATCCTATAAAAAATTAATCATTGCAAACCCATGTAGAATCCTAGGCAAAATTAACCATTACAAACCCATGTAGAATTGTACCCATTGCAAATCTATGTGGAATCCTATGAAAAATTAACCATTGCAAACCCATGTAGAATCCTATGAAAAATTAACCATTGCAAACCCATGTAGAATTGTATTAAAAATTATCCATTGCAAACTTATGTAGAATCCTACATTACAAACCCATGTACAATAGAATTGTATGAAAAATTATCGATTATAAACCCATGTACAATTGTAACAAAAGTAATGAAATAAAAAAAAAATTGCGCCAAGTGAAAGTAGAAACTTGTACTAGTGGAAAATTAAAGTTGCAGACATATATAGAGTCGTATAATGAATCAGTAAAAATTTAAATTTGCAAATATAGAATCGTACCATAAAAAAACTTATCTTTTAAAAAAAAAGATAAACAAGATGCCAAGTCCATGCGCCATATGAAAAAAAAAAATAAAAAAATTTTAGTTAAAAAAACTGGGAGCGCTGCTAAATAATATTCTAACAATATTAAAATTAAATTGTTACTTTTAAACTCATTGCAGTTAAAATATGTTTTGTGTTTAAATTAATTAATGTTACTTTAAGGTGCATTGTAATTTTGAAACTTAGCAGCGCGCCCAGTTTTTTTAACTAAAATTTTTTTAGTTAAAATTACTTTTAATACAGGAAATTACTCGCAACAATGTTTTGTTAGTATAAAATCTTTCTTTAATCGAATTTTTGAACACTTCCGTTGCGTCTATAGACCGCCTTCAGCAATAAAATACATCAAATTAACAAGACTTACAAGACTTGTTAGTACAACTATTTGTTATAATTATACATTACATAATTTCTCTGTAAGACTTTAATCGATTCTTTTTGTCAATAAATGACGAAATAAACCACAAATTAAACTATAACTGATCAAGTTATACACAAATAATTCCTATGTATTTTGTTATCAAAAGAAAACTTACAATCATTTTTATTATTATTATATTCAATTAAAATACAAATATTTGCTATAGTTATACATTTCATATTTTTACTGAATAACATTTGAATTTCATAAATGCTCTGCCAATATGTGAATGCATGGTCTCATCTCGTTCGACATCTGAAAAAATTAATTAAATACAAACAGAGAGATTAAATAAAAACATATGGCTCAAATTGCAAATTAAAAGATAGTTGTACAATTTTTTCTACTTATGCATATAAATATTTGATTGTTTATTTTATATTTTAGTCAAAATGGCGCAAATTTTTTCTTAATTAAAATTATTATTATATAATAAGTAAACTATTATTATTAATAAGCACTAAAATTATTATAAGTCCTAAATGAATAGTTGTCAATCTGTATATAGCACCTATTACATATTCCTTATTAGATTTGCGTAAACAAAAAATAAAAAATTAGTTGTACAATTTTTTCTGCTTATGCATAAATATAATATCATTGTTTATTTCATATTTTTGTCAAAATTGCGACTATAATTTATTAATTAAAATTAATATGATTTGTATTTTTATTATTATACTATATAAGTAAATTATTTTTATTAATAAATATTAAAATAATTCTAAGTTATAAATAAATAATTGTCAATCTGTATAGCATCAATTATATATTTGTTATTAGATTCTCGTGAATCAATAATGTATAACATTGATTGATCGTTAAGTAGGTAATCTGGAAATTAAACCTTATTTGGAAACATCTTCCTCTTTCAAATTTGCTACTAAAAACAATAATAATTATATTTATATAATGAGGATAAAAAAATTATCGATATGGTTCAGATAATTCCAAATATAATATTGTGCCTATCACTCTAATTTCGGAAATATAACGATAAAGTAGAATTATCGTAAAAATTTGTTACATTGCAACGTAAACCAATTCTTCTGTGATATTTTACATATAGAACAATTTATTCACCATATTTATATTTTAAGACCTATTACAGATAGTATATAACAAAATTAATAAAAAAAATAATATATAAATTTAATATATAAGCTAGGAAAAAATTTTACATATATAACAATATAAAATTATATAGAAATATATAATTATATATATAATTTATTTTATATATAATAAATTTATTTGTTATATATAATTGTAATTATGTATGAATTATGTCCATACATAATTAAATAAAAGTGCTTTTTATATACAATTTATGTAAATTTATATATACGTATTTATTCATATATGTATATAAATATACAGGGTTGGGAAAGTTACTTTATAAAAGTAATTAGTTACAGTTACAGTTTTTTTCATTAAAAAGTAACTAGTTACAGTTAAAAGTTACCAATCCTGAAAAGTAACGCGTTACAGTTACAGTTACTTAAAAAGTAACGAGTCGTTACTTTGTAGTTACTTTCTTGCGATAAAAATAAAATATCAGATCTATACTTAATAAAAGAAATTTAAAGGTAAAAGAATGAAATCATATACATATAAATATGTTCTCTAAATACATTTTTATTATATATAGTTATTTATTATAATTATACATTATTACTTATTATAAGAATTAAAATTATAAAAGTCTTTAACGTTTCGAGAGCATTATAGAGTTTCTATTTATATTGTATATACACATAGTATATAATGAAGCTATAATGATCTCTTTCTTCTCACAAATTAATTTTTTCATCATTCTGAGAATATTTACTTCTTATGTGAAAATCTTATATTTTGCCAATATCGAAATGCCGCAAGTCGATTTATAAAGCATCAAAACGAGATCACAAGAAAACTGAAATCGTTATCGTGATCCCAGATTTTTAGGCTGACCTAGGACGACAGATATGAGAGATATATCTAACATAATAATAGAATGTCTCTTAAAGAATATACATGGAATATTCAGGGAACAGATTTGTGGATATACATTTCGAAAAAATGGATATACATTTCGAAAAAATATCTATGAGATATTCCATGAATGTTCATTTTGTACATTCTCATTGTCATATTTATAGCATCTTTGTAGAATGTTTTGGGACTCTCCCATGCCAATTGGGTATAATATCGATATTGAGAAATCGGAAAATCGTAACCCCGGCGAAATATTTAAGTAACTACACTAGAAAACAGCTCTTTCTTTGTTTAGTATCCTTCTTTTATATTGTCTCGTCAAAGTAAACAGAAACGCACAATATTTTACGTTGCTTTGGATTATTGAAATTACCTACAAAATCTCATAATAAATTTAACTCCCTTAATTATATCCTCTTTTAAATAACTTCCTTTTTTCTCATGCTTTATAATTTTATACGCCTACGTCATTTAATATCAGATAGCCTTAGTAAAAAGAATTGCAGATTTTCTAAATAAACTAAAATAAAATTATAATGTATTCTTTCTAATTCATAAAAATTACAGCTTTCTTTACAAATTCCACTCATATAAAAGCAATACAATTTCATACGTGCTTTTTTTAGCATTTTATATGAAAATTATTTACTCATTCAAACTTTAAATTTTTACGATCATTTTTTAATATATACAGGGTGTCCCAAAGCACCCTTAACAACGCTCGTGAGGTGATAGAGGAGATCAAGATGAACAAAAAAGTCTTATACCATTTTGCGATATTTGCAATTATAAGCGAAATATTTAATGTTAATTTCAGGCAAATAAGAGCCCGCTTATGGTTAGCGGTGTTGTTAAGGGTGCTTTGAGACACCCTGTATAAATTCATATCTTGACACTTTTTTTATTATAATTCTTGTTAATATAAATTGATACAATGGATCTGTTTTTTGTTCCTGAACTGCTGCACTAGATCAGAGGTTATCTTTTTTGCTTGACATTGGAAAGAAAAGGACAACCTCTGAACTAGTGCAGCAGTTCAGGAACAAAAAACAAAAAACAGACCCAATATGTTATAATTTATTAACGATTTAATATTTAAAATTTTAATAAAAATTTTTATTATTTTTAAGAGGATTTGATACTCAATTGTGTCATCGTTGAGATGTGCTCTTTGAGGCGTTAATACTAAACCACCAACGCTAAACATTCGTTCCACAGATGCACTGCTCGGAAGTGCCGTATTATATTTAATAAAAAGTTTTTTAATTGTAATGTAATCTTTTAATATATTAACATTGCAATTACTTGATTTCAAGAATCGGTACAGTTCTTCTTGTGTAGACTCGACTTCTTTTGTTTGCTGGTCAAAAGCAAAAAGTCATCGTTGTTGAGATTTTCATCGTTTAGAGAACTCTCGGTGGAACGAATTCCTAATAGGTCTTCTAAATAAGTTTTAGCGAGTTTTTTTTCTTCTCCATGTATCCAATTTAATTTAAATTTGGGATGCAAACAACTTGCAATAATAAGTTCTTTTTTTTTAAACAATGAGGAAAATCTAAAATTATACAGTCAGAAGTCAGAATCAATGAATATTGTTTTCTAAAAATAATAAATAACATGTTCATTAAAATAACAAATTACCTTTTATTTAAACCTTGTTAAAGAGCTGCGATTAATGATTGGCAATGCGTAATTTCATTTTTATTAAGTTTCTCTAATTTTTCTTTTAATGTTTTTAAGACCGGTAATAAGTATCCCATATACATCCCTTTCTCGCTTTGCAATATATCTAAAGATTGTGCTAAAGGTTTCATTATCTAAACGAAATAAAACGAGAAAAAGATACACGTTATTAGTTATTAAATACATATTACAATCTTTATATATACATATTTATATATTTATGTTTCATATTAACAACTTATAAATTTATCTAAATACCTGACAATATTCTTCTATGAATTTCATTTCATGTTCAGTCAATCGTTGCAAATTACAATGATCAAGGCATTGATTGATTTGGTCGGGATCATTTTTTAAAAATGTTGCTAGTTGCATTACAGAATCAAAAGTAGAGTTCCATCTACCAAAATAAAAAAAGATGAAAGTATATTAGAAACTTATAATTTGAAAAAATATTTATATATACTCATATGCAGAATTAAATGAAAACATGATTAAAATTAAAAAACAGTAAATATGCAATTTATTTAGTTATAAAATTGAAGACAGTTGTAATGTTTTTTACTATTGTGTCGAAAGAATATCTATGGAAAAATAATATTGATATACATATAAGCCACTGCGTGACTTGTACATAAACATTGCGAATATTATTTTTAGACACTGATAAAAATCATTAGGTACATCTATTATCATTCTAAGATCAAATAAGTTTCATATTTACAATCTAACGCAATAATAAATTTTTTTACCTGGTAATAACAGGAGTTTTTAAATAGACACCTAAAATTTCTTTTATTTTGTCAGATATTTGTGTAGATTGATTTTGTTTACTCCATAATTTGGTTAATTTAGCAAATGTCAATCTGTATAGTTTTTTATATGAAACATCATTGTCTAGAGCTTTCTCGGAATCTTTTACAGCGACAAGATTTAAACTGTGACTCACACATCTATGATGTGATGGAAGAATAAGCGAATCTTCTGCATCCATATCTTCTATATCATCTTTAATTAAAAGATTACTTAAATCGTGAAATTCTATAGCAGTAGATGTTTCATCTTCGTCCTCGTCTTTTACAAAATTCCTAAAAAATATTTAAAAATTTTACTCTCATGAATTATATTAAAATATTTTATATGTCAATTATGTTTTGTTAATTATATTTTTTATTTTTATTATACTTTAATTATATATATGCTATTATACCTTAATTTTAATTGTTTTAGTTAATTTTTTGTATTATATGTAATAAGATAAAAGGAGTATGTAAGCGAGATGAAGAATGCCACATTCGTTTGAATATCCAAAATTAAAATATAAAATGTAAAAAATATACACAATATACTTTGAAACAAACTCTTACCGAAAAGCTTTAACAAAGTTGGATCCACTATCGGTAGTTACATAACACACTTTATTTTGGATATGATACTCGAGAAAGACTGAGTTAATTGCTCGAGCTAAAACATCGTATGTATGTCTGCCTTTCATCCTACGGCAAGCCAATGCAGCTGATTCTCTCTCGAAAGTTACGGGATTCACCCAATGAATAGTTATGCCTAAATAACTCCTATAAATTTAGATTTTAATTTATAAAATTTGAAAAAATTACAATAAAAAAATATAAATATAAAGTAATATTACTAGCCTTTTTGTTTTGCTCCACAAATCTGCGGTAGTTGCAACTACTTCTACTTCTGTCAATTTTTTTTCAAGAGCAGCCTTCATTTTATGATATGTTTCACAAATTTTGTTTCTTAATGTTTTTCTGCACATTATACGGATATGTGAAGGAAGTCCAATTCTAAGTAAATTAATGAATGCTGGACTATCTACAGTAGAAAGAGGTTGAATATCTTCAATAATAAAACGCAGTATCGCTTTATCTACTGCTTTTTGAGTAGCTATTGAGCTCCCAGAGCCCCATCTCTCCAATCTTTGACATTTATTTGGAACATTATTCGGAGGATCTTCACTTGAATGTTTATTTGATAATTTCAGTTTTGCCTTATCTATGTTTTGCAACAAGTGTGGATGTTTTGCCTATTAATTTTGTTTTGTCTATTAATTTCATACACACACCAGAAAGAGTAAGAAACGGAAAAAGAAGATAGAAATAATTATAATAAAAATATATCAATAGTCTTCATAATTTAAATATGTACATAAATAATTTCACAATAAAAAGAAAAATAATAACACATAGTAAAATTTGTTTGAAAAGTAAAAAGAATTTTTACCAAAAATCTTATGAGAAAAATTAAAAATTAGTTTTTAGAAAAGTTTTGTACTAATATTGTATTAATATTTATTTACATTAAAAGAGAATTTTTACACATGTTTTCTCAATTTAAACAATTATAAATTTGAAAAAATGTTTAAAATCGTAATTTAAATAATTCTAATTGTTTAAATTGAAAAAAACGTTGTGTTCAAATCATATATTTAACATATCATACTCTTGTAACTTTTGATACCTATTTTATGCTTTATGCACATTATATTTGCTTCAAGGTTGAATGTTTTGTATATTTGAAAATCTAAAAGTTGAATTAAAAAAATTAAAAATATAGCTTACTTATATATATAATTTTAATTTTATTATACTTTATATTGATTTTTATGTAAAAAGGGAAATAAATTATTTTTTCAATTTTATTTTAAAATAAGCATGAATAATTTTACTTCTAATGCAAATTTTACACAAAAATGCCCAGTTTTTCTCGTTTTCAAGTTTTTGTTGCAACTGAAATACTTCTGCATATGCTGGCCATGGCATTTTATGATCATTTTCTGAAGATTGAAATGCCTCTATTGCTTGAACATTTTCTGAAGATTGAGATACCTCCATAACCTCCATTGCTTGAACTTTTTAAACGTAGACAAATATAAATATATATTAATAATTAATATATATCAGAATTATATTGTAATTAATATTAATATATCATATATCCATAAAGTGTTATACAAGATACTCGTGTAATCAATGCTATAATAAACTAAAATTTAAAATTAAATAAAATTTTGAAGAAGTAATAATAATAACAAATAATATCTTAAAGAAAATCACAAATAAAAGAGAAAAAACCAACGAAAGGCGTAATACAACACTTACCTCGTATCTTATCTTACTCAGAATCAACCAGAGATGTTCTTATTCTTGGTATCAAACATAAAACGAAACACAAAACGTGCATGAGCACGTACAAGACTTGTTAATCCGTGGAAAAACGGATTCTCTACATGCGATGAAGAGGACTTCTCTCTCTCTTTCTCTCTCTCTCTCTATTTTTCTATCTCTTTCGCAATCAATCAATCTGACAGAACGGAATCGAATGTACGAGAGCACGTGCTCACAGCTACGATATTTCAACTTATGTCGAGAGTACTATTCTGTTACCAGATTTGGGCGCTCGGCAATGACACACGTATAAAAATCACTATATTCTAGTGACTTTAACGTATACGGCTCCTTCGTCGTGTGTGTCCCCACATCAGGCGCTTCGGCTGCGGCCCAAATCTGGTAACAAATCAGTAGTCGAGAGCAGTTGGGAGCATGTGTATTGAAATGTACAGTACCGATAAAGATACTTGCGCAAGCGCAAGGCTGCCCAACGCGAAGTATAGAGATTTGAAATATATAATAAATGTAACTATGAATGTAACTATTGAATTAGTTACTAGTTACCGAAAAAATGTAACTGAAGTTAAGTTACAGTTACAGATAGAGAGAAAGGAACGAAGTTAAGTTAAGTTACTGAAAAAAAGTAACTGTAACTTCGTTACAAGTAACGAGTTACTTCCCAACCCTGTAAATATATATAATATTTCATATATAATTTGACATGATTATATATGAACCTTATAATTTATATATAAATTTAATTAATTATGTAAAAATGAACATATTTTACATATAATTATGTATAATTATATAATTCTTTATATATAATTATATATAAAAATTTTTTTCCCGGGAATAAAATCATGACCATTATCACAGCGCTACTTGGCCATAATTATAATACTCTATACATATCTAAGATACAATAAAATTAGCTATTCCCGATTCAGCGACTTTAGGATCTATATTTTTCTCTTGCATTTTATTTATTTATTTCCGTAGGGGGGTTAAAGGATTATTAAAATTAAATCTCAAAAATATGAGATTATTTCATATTTTAAAATCTTTGCCGTGACCAAGTAAAATTTGGTGCTTTGTGCACAGATATTAAATTCTAACGAAAAAATTTAGTTTCGTTAGGATAACGCACTGTCTTCCGCGATTGGCTCTTATTGCCTGTCTTACACTTTAAATTTATATTTATATTACAGAGCCTTGTTAAACTCTTAAATAATTTTAATTTGCCCAATTTCTATTATGTATATAATTTTAATTTATCGTATTTTTTTTTTGAGGCGCAACACACGCAATGCGTTTGAAAGTTTGTAAGTGGTGAGACAGTGTCTTTGTCATGGTTTGTGTACTTGTACGTTTCTATTATACTGAAGATGGTTCAAAGAAAGAACCGAACGTTTATACTGAATAAACTTGTTTATAGTATAAGTTATTGTGTAATTTTTGCGCTCCTACACCTTGCGCTTGGCTCTATAAGCCGTGTTTAGATTTGTTTTAGATTAAATAAGTTATGTGATTTTATTAATAATTTATCATTAGACACTGTTTGTTTATTACCTACTTGTAATATGTGTGATGTTCTTAATAATGCAATGTTAAGTCGTATTGTTTCCAAAAATATATTATTAATTGCTAAAGACACGATTAACTGTGTTTCATATTTAAAAAAGAAAGCATTAAAAGTATTGTCAAATAACAATGATGTTAACTTAAAAACAGCTGGACTTTCAACAACAAAAACAAATTAAAATTATACATAATTTTGATGCTAGTTTAGGTCTTGTAAACGGTACAATTACTAAAGTAATTTCAATTGTACAAGATACATCTACTGATTACGTAGAAAAGATTAAACTTCTTTTACCATCAGGTTCAGAATATGAAATTGAAAGAGTAAGTGTTAAATTTGAAGTGATAGATAAAGTGTATGTTATAAGAAAACAATTTCCATTATCTCTAAGTTATGATATCACTATTCATAAAAGCCAAGGATTGAATTTGCGAAGTGCAATTATGGACATCGGTAACTCTGTATTTAGTTTGGTCTTTATGTTCCATCAAGAGACACGGTAGTGTCTCGCGACCAGTTAAGGGCGTAGCGGAGACACCGTGTATCTTAACGCGAGTCGGACATTTGAGTCTTTATAATATTTCGAATCCTCAATAATGGCTGAAGCAATCGAGTTTATACTAGACTTAATCGATAGATTGAGTTCGAATTATATAATAAAAGTGTCTTTATTTCTGCTCTACGTGATTTGTAAGCAGAGATATATAAATGCAAAGTCGAAATATGAAAAATTTCTATTAAGAAACGTCCCCGTCATCATTATCATCATTATCATCATTATCATCATCATTATCATCATCGACCACGCATACATAGTAGTATCGTGCTACACGTATTCACACGTATACAACACATGCGCACACATATATCACACGTACACAACACATGCAAGATGCATGTAGTGGTAATTTTGTCCATCTCGCACGTTTTACAACAGATGGCGATAGTGGCGCTCCGCCATATCGGCAGCGTGCGGGGTTATGTTGGCTAACTCTCTCTCTCTCTCTCTCTCTCTCTCTCTCTCTCTCTCTCTCTCTCTCTCTCTCTCTCTCTCTCTCTCTCTCTCTTTCTCACACACACACGCACACACACACACACTCTCTCATTCTCACTCACTCACTCACTGTTCGTCTTGTGTACTTATTTAGTACATTCATGATCGGCAGCGTGCGGGGTTATGTTGGCTAACTCTCTCTCTCTCTCTCTCTCTCTCTCTCTCTCTCTCTCTTTCTCACACACACACGCACACACACACACACTCTCTCATTCTCACTCACTCACTCACTGTTCGTCTTGTGTACTTATTTAGTACATTCATGATTAAACATCTATATGCATTAATGTGAAATTTACTTACAATTAGTTTACTTGAAATATTCAATCTCTAAAGTGTTTATCTTATAAGATAGACAAAAAAATCTGAGTAAATAATAAGAAAAAAAAACAAGGATTATTATTGTCATAATTTTTTATCAATTAAGTACTCTCAACTATCCAATAATTAAATAAATACGTACAAATGTGCGCGCGTGTACACACATACACATATTGATATTAAAGAGATTGAAGGAGAGGAAGGAGAAGATAAAAATTTAAATATTCACATATATTTTCAAATATTATATATGAATTTATAGTTTACATATCTAATTAATAATGAATTTCTAATTATATTAAACATATCAAAATAAAGACATACATGTATTTATCAAATGAATAAAATTATTGAATACAGACTTAAAAAATTTATTAAACATAGACTTAAAAAATTAATTAATTAAACATATTCCAAATTTAGAAAAAATAAACTTTATTTATATATGCAACAGCTTTTTAAACTAAATTTTTAAATTCTATTTTATATTAGACAATTATCTCAATCAACATCTACGTCCACATTAGCTGCACTGCAGACTACCTCTACAGCCACATTATCTGCTCCGCGGATATAGCGTTATGCCAATACGATACATTACATGTACTTACTTACTTGCCTTTACTGTACCAACTCTTGTTCTTTCCACGTAATCATGTTTTTACAGTTATCGTTTGCTGTATATCTTCCAGCAAACTTTATTTCGTGTGAAGTGTATTTAATTAATTAAATCTCTGCGAAAGATTGAGAAGATGAAGGGATAATTCAAACTATGAAGACATGGTTACATGGAAAAGACAAGAGTTGATACAATAATAAAGACATACATGTATTTGTATCCTGCTGGCATAAGGTTATAGAAGTTGATTGAGATTGAAAAATAATAATGAAAATAATAAAAAAAATAAAGACACATGTATTTGTATCGTGCTGGCATAAAGTTATAAAAGTTGATTGAGATTGAAAAATAATAATAAAAATAATTAAAAAAAGGAAATATTCAATCATCATTTAAAAGCATATTTGAAATCTGTAGAATAAACAGTTTTTGCAAAAAATGTGGAGCATTTG